TTCTCAGAAAAATCACCAGGAAAGATCAATAATCCTTAGATTTAGTATCGAATATGTTAATGCATTGACTGATTTCAGTCTTACCATGTTTGTTATAGGACTTATGACACTCATTAGCTCTTAACTAATAATTTGTAGCATAAATGAGACTTTCTACATATTTTCTATGGTTCTGGAACATATCTAAACACATAAGGTTATGTTAATGGAAACTGACTTAAGATAATACAGGGAATGTATTAGTAGGAAACGACCTGTATTATCAGCACTTCGCTGGAAGTAATAGAGGTGTTCTAGACATCAGCATTATCAACAGACTCGTAAGCACGCGGTTAAGCAACTTAGCGAATGCTTTGATGTCATTCCACGTCACATTGGGCAACTACCATATATGTTATCAATGCTTTAAACATATTTCACAACATTTCATTGCAATGCTCTTTAAATTTCCTTATTTGAACTGTGTTGCCTCCACCTATACAGTTTGGGACTGGTGCAATTCATTTCTGAAACTATGAATCATTAACGCAATTGGTAGGAATCCTTGGATAAGGAACCGGGCCGCCTCAAGGCCTTTGCCTACACAGGATAAGATAAACACAGGAAAGAAAGCAAATATCTACGAGTACGAGTCAGTAAATAGGTCACAAACTGATATAAGAAACAAACGTGATATTCGAACATGGAAAAAACATTTAATTCTGGACACTTCCTCCGCCAACACAGGTACACTTGTCCCTTCGCTTTACCAGTGCGTCGAAACCATAGAAGTCTTCTGACTGTTGTATCAGCCATTTCCACATCTAGTCGGATATTAGCTGCGAATTTCGAACGTTACTGAGAGAATTTCTCGATCCAGTTGTGAATCGCTTTACGCGACAAATACTTCCCACCACGAATAGGAAAGATTTCTTTATGAATATCCTTTGCATTGAGTCCTTTTGCCCACAAAAATCGCACAAGAGAACGCTGCACTTTGGTAGTAAACTTGTCAAGCACGGTTGCCATTTTGACTACTGAAACCAGCCTCTGAGCATGCGCATGCGCATCTGCTACCTACCCTGTCATGAAGCTGGACTGTGCTGCTATCTGGTTAAACAAACTGAAAACCTATTACCTCCATTACAGCTGTTTTACTTCCATTTGTGGCGTATTTACTGACCTAGAATTTGATTCGAACCCATGTTCCTAGTGTTAGAGCTCGCGAAGATATCACGTGCCTTACGTCGCGTGGCCACTATGATCGGCATTTGTGTACTAAATAAGATATAATTTAGTTTCAGTATATTTATTACTTTTCACGCCCAACAGACTGGCACAGAGGCAAGCCTCTAGACTTGTATTCGATAGATGCTCGGTTTGAATCGCGACCGAATCATCGATTATATTGATTAAGGTTTTTCGTGGCTTTCCTCAGCCAGCCTAGGCAAATGTCGGGTTCATACCTCGCTTAAGCCATGAGGACTTCCTGCCACATCCTTCCCAATTCATCTGCCATCCTGTAATCCACTGCAGTAGTCTCGGTACTGAACGTCTTTAAATAACGCACATAAAAATCACTTTTTGCGGTTGAGCAAAAGTATCTGTTGCTCCTCATGTCGTTTGCCATTCCCTTACATTGATCCGTACCGATCTGCAGAAACGTTAACAGTTTTCTCGTTGGGTTGGACCTGCGTCAAGTAACCACATAAAGAAAATAGATAAAGCTATGCCTGTAACAGGCCGTTGAGGCCCATAGGGTTGTGAGACGTCGAGGCTTCCATATTTACTAGAAAATCTGCTCACTGATGGCGGTGAGGTTGTCAGCCTTACGCGCCGGCCGCCCTTTACCCTAGATTCCTAGTACTCATTTCTGTTAGAGGCTGAATCGACCCCAGGGTCATAGTGCGGCTGGAAGGATTAGCTAAATTGAAACATTTAATTATCTCATCGGGAATCGAACCCTCAACCTTCCGGCTTGTAGCATTATGCCTCAGCCAACTACGCTACCGCGTGCCTCCACCGCCCCGAGTAACCACATTCTCTCTCGAAATCAGCATCTAATTAGATCCATAAATTCACACACACCATTTAATGTAACTTAGCAGTAGAATATGAGGATTGCTGTCTTCTCGGTTGAGCGGCCGTGCAGTACTGCAGAAAGTTCCAAAGTATCGGAGGACCTGCTGCTCCCCACCATCTACCCTGAAGATGGAAGTAACACGTTCTTCCGAAACGTTGATAACTTTGTGACAATATGAACGCGCGTCACATCCCAGAAGACAGCAATCCTCATATTCATCGCCATGAGAAACTCAGATTTGGCATAACAGCAGAGCAGTTCAATAATTGCCTTACCCGAATAAAATTGCCCCTAAAAATATTTTACAAATGCTAACTTTGATATTTTCGTACATCATTGACCTCGACGTTCATATATTAGGCTAGCAATTATATTATGGAACACATAAATTTATTGCTTGGTTTTTGGACTTTTCCCATTGTCCGATATTATAGAAAATAGAAAACACGACATTTCCGAAACTTGATCTGTTTCCGTTTTCACCATCACCTGAGATTAGCTCTAAGGGGTCCCACTGAGTAGGTGTCTTCCCCCCTCACCTGAGGACGGAAACAGATACGGTTTCCGAAACATCCAGTTTTATATTTTCTAGAATAATGGACGATGGAAAAAGTCCAAAAACCCAGTAACTCTGTGTGTTATACACCACCGTCAGAACCACTTATAACCTACTTATATATAAATTTATTGCTATGAAGTTAATCACACTGCAAATACTAATAAATTATTTTCATTGTGTTGGTACTTCATTAAATGTTCACCATATGGAAAATAAGACGTACAATTATCCTTGTTAAGATAGAAATTTGCCTCTAATAAAGTGGTAATCCATATGAATCCAAACTGCATTCAGGCAGCAACATTTAGTGCAGATCTGCAACACAAAATGCCTTCGAAATTGATTCAGTGGTTTCGGAGGTGAAGCGTGAAGACTTTCAAATCTTCATCATTAGAATGAACACAAAATATTAAAACCTGTATTTATTTCATGCTCTACGCTGCTTCACTAGCAACTAGCTTCATATTCTGTCACATGGTTTACAGCCTATGAGCTTGTAATTTCGAAACTGAAATCAAGAACAAGGTACTCACATATAAACCTAGAAAGTGTGAAATCCTCAAGATGATATTCACAAGAAAATTGTGATCATAATACCAGAGTTCAGAACACTGCATTAAAGTGATAATTTTGAACCAAACATCGAAATTCTGATCATAGGATCCACATCAAAATCCTGACGATGATAAAGAATTTATGAGCATGATATCCACATTAAAATCTTGTGTATGATGCCGGAATTCTGAACATGATATCTATATGAAAGTCTGATATGATACCAAAATGCTGAACAGATATTCCCATGACAATCCTGTATATTATGCCGAAATTTTGAACATAATATCCACTTGAAAGTCTCATATATGATATTAACATGCTGAACAGATATTCTCATGAAAATTCCGTATACGAGGCCGAAATTCTGAACATTATGTCCATATGAAAGTCTGATATAAGACATCAACATGCTGAACAGATATTCAAACGAAAATCCCGTATACGATGTCGAAATTCTGAACATGATATCCATATGAAAGTCTTATATACTATATGATACCAAAATGCTGAACAGATATTCATATGAAATTCCTGTACATGATGCCGAAATCCTGAACTTCGTATTTACATGATGGTCTTGCCTGTGATACCGAAATCTTGAACATGATATACACAGGAAAATCTTGTTGATGGAACAGAAATCCTGAATATAGTATCAATACGAAAATCTTGTATATGATACCTAAATTCTGAACACGATATCCACATGAAAGTCTTGCAGATGACATCCAAATTCTGAACACGGCATTCACCTGAGAATGTTGATTATATCGATAACTGCTTTTTCTACACTACAAATATACCCCTGTTTTGTTCATTTCTACGGTAAATGTAAGATACTATAATTTTAAAGGTAAAGTTGTCCCTGTGCTTAACTAATTAAGCACTACGCCATGAAGTCGTAGGAGTGGATGTATCGATTCTCATTTTCTTGACCTCGGCACTAGTCGGAGTTCAGTGGTCGGATTCACGCCTCGGCCGCTTTACCCCCGGGGAAAGAGCCCCCGGTTCCCACTGGATAGGAAGTTGAATGAACCCCAGAGCCGGTATGAACAACATGAAGAAGCGACAATTGTTGTCCCCACCGGGACTCGAACTCCGACCCCACGGTCGTCCAGCCAGTAGCCAGTTCTATACCGACTGCGCTATCCCAGTTCACTCTATAACCTTAGCTTCATTATACAGGGTTAGTATAATAGAAACGGACGCTTTCAACGTTTTATAGCAACCAAAGTATTATTGATATAGCTAAAATACGTGGAATTTAGCATATATCTTTAAGTTTGTATGACTAAGTTATAAACGTTCTATGTGTGAGACTTGTCACACGGAAGATATCAATACGATAACCCAGTTCGTTCTAAACACCGCTCAACAGACCAGAGCATGGCACTGACAAGTTGACCACAAAGAATTCCGATCTGACTCCCACTGATTTTTTCTTGTAGGGATATAACAAACAGAGAGTTTTTGTTCCTCCACTTCCTGTAAGTGTAAACGCTCTAAAGCAGCGCATCACAACTGTTACGTGTGTTGACGAGGACATGCTCCGGTGTGTTTGGAACGAATTGGATTATTGTATTGATATGTGCCGTGTGACAAAAGGCTGACACATAGAACATTTGTAACTTAGTTATACAAACTTAAAGACATATACTGAAAAACCATGTAAGTATTTTGCCTATATTAACAATACTTCGGTTTCTATAAAACGTTGAAAGTATCTATTTCTTTTATACTAACCCTGTATAATATGAGAGAGCCGCTAAGTTACGAACCTTGTGAAAACAGAAACTGCTACAAAAGGGTACGTTTACTTACCATCTTGAAACTAAGCTGTTACATTTCGATGGTGGGTTGTAATATCGATTGAGTTCACGATACCGCGCTGTACTGTTCATCGTGCTCCTAATTACACTGCACGTACGAGACTAAGTCAATCCGACGCCGTTTGAAGCGAGGGCAGGTAGCAAGTGGTGCCACTATCACAGGCGATCTGTCTGTCAATAAGACACAACACAGCAACTCAAGACAATACGAACATAACTGGATATTAGCGCCTTTCATGGTATTTTGTTTGTGGATTTCAAGGTCTATTACTGCAGTTCCTGGCCGTCGGCTCGCGGTTCTAACGATGCTGGAACACTGTGGAAAACATTTCTAAAACGAACCACACGGCACAGAGTCCTTGAGAAACTAACAACGGTGAAGTTAGAACACGCTTTGATGGTTACCATGCCCAGATTCAGATATAACGTTATGTTCCAGTGGTTAATGGGATTTAAATATATGCTCCAATGGCTATAGGGCCGGGAATTGGTTTCAAGAATACGCTCCAATTGCTACAGGGCCGAGAATTGGTTTTAAGAATATGCTACAACAGCTATTATGTCCAGAATCTGGTTCAAAAATAGGCTCCAATGGCTATAAAGCCCAGAATCAGTTTTAATAATACCCTCCAATGGTTACAATGCCGAGAATTGGTTTTAAGAATATGCTCCAGTGGCTACAGGGCCTAGAATTGGTTTTAAGAATATGCTACAACAGCTTTTATGTCCAGAATCTGGTTAAAAAATAGGCTCCAATAGTTATAATGCCCAGAATCAGTTTTAATAATACCCTCCAATGGTTACAGTGCCCAGAATTGGTTTTAAGAATACGCTCCAATGGCTACAGTGCCCAGAATTGGTTTTAAGAATATGCTACAACAACTATCATGTCCAGAATCTGGTTCAAAAATAGGCTCCAATGGTTATAATGTCCAGAATTAGTTTTAATAATACCCTCCAATGGTTACAGTGCCCACAGTCAGTTTTAAGAATACGCTAAAATGATCATCATGTCCAGAATCTGGTTCATAAATAATCTCCTATAGTTGGAGTGCCCAGAATTGGTATTAAGAATGTGCTACAATGGCTATCATGTCCAGAACAAAGTACTTAAATACGCTCCAGTGGTTACAGTGCTCAGAATCGAGTTTAACGTTGTCACGTTAAGCGATATAAGTACTAGTTATAAGAAAGAATCACTTTATGAAACTCATCGTGCAGACAGGAGGTTACAGGATGTTCACGGCTGTCAAGGCTTCAAGCCCGGTGGTACTTGAAGGATACGGGGCATTATCACTCCGTACTCTATCTCATTACAAAAACTACTGCGCCACAGGACGACTGTGATAATTTTACAAATTTTACCAATTTGTTCATACTCATTTTCATTCGTGCATTTTTTTGTGGGTTATTTCACGACATTTTCAGTAGCTACACTAAATTCCGTCGAACTGTAGGACGCCAAACGAATGTTGAACTGGAAATGATTTGGAACGAACTGTTCTTGACCCAACAGGGATACTGTTCAGGCATTTGTCTGCAGACACTGACCTGGTGTTGCAGCTGAGATTCGAACCAAGTACCTTGAGAATTATTACTAAACTAATTCGCTCGATAGCTGACGTGGGTTACACCCTCGTTCTCAACCAGTGAGCCGCGAGGCGAGTTTATAAGCCAAGTGCACGGTAAGGTTTCCAAGAGAAAAATTAGTCATTTAATTAAAGGTGAAAACTACGAGGCAGCAACAGAAAATGGGGCGCAATGAAATCTTTACTAATATGAGGAGGAACCATTATATAGAATTTATAAACCACTGCATACACATAAAGTTTCCTCAATTTTTATCTGTAAAAAATTCATCACCTCTTTGTTTCATATTTTATATAGAGTAAACCACATTGTTTAAAAAAAACATGTGCTTTTATCATAAATGTCAGTCCTTTATTCTAATTCTTTTGAGACGACTTTTCCCTTCCCGCAAAGAATTAATATCTAAACTACGGCGCAAGAGCAGGTGTAACCAAGCACAGTGCTGAAAACCGCAACAACAAAAAATCCCTACGCTTTTACCCTGTTGTTGGTGGCCTGTCTTTGTTTATTTTTAACAAATTCTCCGATCATATGGTTAATACCCAGTAATGTTATGTACATCCGACGTGCTGACGTTACAGATCTCTTTGCGTATCCCTGCGCGGTGGTTCAAAAGGTACCAGCCGAGTCTATTAGTATTTGCCGCTGTGCGCTCACGCACCTGGGCGTCACGTTCCTAACATACTAATGGCGAGGTATCCTTGACGGGGCCGCTGATAGGGGCACAGATGCACCCTACTGCCCTAATTATTACTCAAAAGCTACCAGCCATACTGCGTATCTTAGAGCAGTGTTTCGGAACATTTTTCAGTTGAAGTACCCTTTGGTCCGAAAGAAATTCGCGTACTCCTTGGTCTCATAGTGAAACTTCAGGAACCCTTGGTCTCAGAGTGAAACTTCACGAGCCCCTTTTTCTCACAGTGAAACTTCACATACGCCTTGGCCTCAGACCAACATTTCTCATGCTCCTCGGTCTCAGAGTGACACTTCACATGCCTCTTGATCTCAGAGTGATACTTCATGAACCCTTGGTCTCAGAGTGACACTTCACATGCCTCTTGATCTGAGTGAAATTTCATGAACCCTTGGTCTCAGAGTGAAACTTCACGAACCCCTTTTTCTCACAGTGAAACTTCACATACTCCTTGGTCTCAGAGCAACATTTCTCATGACCCTTGGTCTCACAGTGACACTTCACATGCCTCTTGGTCTCAGAGTGAAACTTCACTAACCCTTGGTGTCAGAGTGAAACTTCACGTGACGTGCCACTTGGTCTCAGAGTGAATTTCACATGCCCCTTGATCTCAGAGCGAAACTTCAAGTGCCCCTTGGTCTCAGAGTGAAACTTCACGTGCCAGTTTATCTCAAAGTGAAAATTTTCTTACGTGGAAGAAGGGGTATAGATCTACGTGTACGGTCGGGATACTTGCGAAACTATTCTTAGGGCAGCCTTCGTATATTCATACTGGACAAGGCAGGGGTGTGACTTGCCCCCCAGCTATACAGAACGAGTAAGTCACGAATCTCGCTACACGATGTTGCTCACTATATAGCTGCTCCTAGAGAAGTGAGACGAATAAGCAGGCCTCGTGTTATCTACATTAATAAAACTGCGCGTCATTTCTTGCATTAAACTCGGTGTCCTTGGTATTTGGGTTACTACTGATTTACAATGGAGCCAAGATATATTGGACCGAAGATCATTATCCGTCTACCTTAATATAAAATGTCTGACTTGTGTTTCATGTATGGGTTGGTTACCATAACAACAGAACTACACGCAGCAGCCAGTACCTTGTATAGACCCGCTGAAAGATCTCTGCAAAGGATGTACGTCATGCTATAGCACACAAAATTACCAAGGGAGTTTTCTGAGGTTTCACCCACTAATGGATCTGAGCTCTTCTTGAGAAGCTGCCAATTGTGTAGCTACTCAAGAATTTCCCAGCATTTTATGGAACCCGAAGGTTCATTACCGTCTTCACAAGAGCCCTCCACTGGTCCCTATCCAGAGCTAGATCAATCTAATCCATAACATCCCATCCTATCTCTCTGAGATCCGCTTTAATATTGTCCACCCACCTACGCCTTGGTCTTCCCAGTGGTCTCCTTCCTTCTGGCTTTCCCACAAATATCCTATATGCATTCCTCTTCTCTCCCATTTGTGCTACATGCCCGGCCCATCTTATCCCCTTTGACTTGATCATTCTAGTTATGAAGCTCCTCATTATGCAGTTTTCTCCAGCCTCCTGTCACTTCATCCCTCTTAGGTCCAAATATTCCCTTCAACACCCTGTTCTCAAACACCCTCAGTCTGTGTTCAATCAGAGACCAAGTTTCACACCCATACAGAACCAATACAGTGTTCAATACATACCATTACACCGAATAAAATGACTCAGAGTGTAGAGCTATATATTTGCTTTCGGGAAGCACTCTATTCGAATCTCGGTCGAAGTATCAACTATCCTCACTGAGGTTTATCTTGGTTTTCCTCAATCCCTACGACCAAATCCTGGAATAGTACCTCAGTTAGGCTATAACAGTTTCCTTGCAGAACCCTGCCAATTCATTATTCCGCAATCATTCCACCATTCAGTGATGTACAGTTTAAGATAACAGACTCGTTACGTGAACCGTGCCTAAATAAAATTAAGTAAAACCTGTATCTAAGTGTTCTAACAGAAAATCAATAACCTGTCAGTCATTATAACCCTGCTTCTGAGGAACCGTTACATCAATACATGTACATCCTGGGCCAAAATATTTGCAGGTTTTAGAATGTTTCGTTATTATGTGGTTCGTTTCGAATCTCGACCAAGAAAAAGAGATATTTCCAGACAAACTATGTGAAATAGGCCACGACTGTTTAGCCACTTGACCCATTCCAGTTCATTGCCCATAACTTAATCTTTTGTTAGAACTGTAACATAGGTAAGATTAAAATAACTTCTTGATGTAGCCTACCTGATTTCGTGGCGCCACACTCTAAATTCGTCATAAAATTGTGTTCCACAGTTTTAACAGTTCTACATAAATGGGAACATAATGAAGATCTATTATGGAGCCATCTATAGAGAACTGTTAAAGTGTGTAATATAATTATGTGACGAACCGCCTCTGTTGTCTAGAGGTCAGAGTTCCTGGCCACATATTCAGAGGTCCGGGTTAGATTCCCGGCGCTACCAGATTTCTCTGAGAAGTAGTGGAACGGGGTCCACTCAGCCTCGTGAAGATAATTGAGGAGCTATTTCAAGGAAACAGTGGCTCCGGTCTAGAAAACCGAGGTGAACGGCCGTGTTGATCCGTTGCGCTGACCACGTGTCACCCTCTATCCGCTAAATTTGGCACTAAATTCGCCGAAAAGCGGCGGTCGCTCGGTCGGTACAGTTCGCTTGCGGATTACAAGGCACGGAGTTTTTTTAGTTATGTGACGAGTTTTGAGTTTCATACCACGAAATAAGGTAAAGTGTGTCTAATATTCTCTGAGGACACGCCATCATAATATGGACTCTTAGTACGTCATTACGAAGTTGCTAGATTTTATTCTCTGCAGAGATGGGAGTCATAATCGCTATGCCGGAGATCTCGGTAAACACATAGAACCTTTCTTCCGTACTGTTGCATATTGAAAGCACCCTCAAAGATGTCCTAT